CCCCCCCTCACATGCATGGAATATCTATAGTCCTCTCCTCCTATGGGTCCTACCAGAGGGAGCAAAACTACAAATATACTCCACTTCCACTCTTTTCCCAAGCAATGTGGGACAAGGAGCCATTCAAGAGAGGAAAGAACAAAAAACAAGAGAGGGAGGAGAGAGATTCTTATAAATTTGAATATCCCTCCAAAACTATAGCCTCTAGAGCTTACTTACTGTGCATTCAAATCAGCCCGCACAACGCCCCACAGCACATCCTCGCCATGTATTGGGAGCATCTCCCAATGATAATACCAGAAATGGATAGAAGATGTTCCCAATATGTGATGGGGATGTACTGTGGGACATTGTGGGGCGCCCCCTAGTGGGGGGCTGATTTGATCTGCATTACCTTGCCGACACTCGACAGACAACCATAGTATGCCTTCGACCATATAAAAACTGTTACAATCTATATACTAGCAGAGGGGCCCTACATTGCAGGGGCTTGTGAAAGATAAGGTGTGTTATAGACTGGAAATTCGAACCCGCAACCGACAGTCCGAAACCAACAAGCCTATCTTTTCTACTCTCCATCAAACAAATATTTGTGTAAGAACATAGAATAAGCATTCAATTGCAATGTCGTTTCAATAGAAAAAACTTGTAGTAACATTGAGTTGGACATCTAAGGCATCTCTCATTAAATTGTGAGACTAGACTACCAGCAACCCAAATATACGAGACACAAGCAACATGCAGGTTTAAATTGTTATTGTCTAAAATGCTTGAATACGAAGAACAAAACTAATGGGAATGAAAGGCTGGGATAGAGTTGGTAAGTTAAATCACCTTTTTGATGATCAATCGATGATATTGATGCAATTTGCAAAGTGTCAGTAACAGGCTATCTTACATGTTTCAATTACAGTGAGTACAGGCTTTCCAAGACACTATTGCTTAATTATGTTGAGAGTTGCTATATATCAGGAAATAAGTTATAATGTTTATTGAAATTAAGTTGAATCCCAATATTTTCTTGCTAAATTTTTAGGTCACTTGACATACTACTTAGGTGTAGTATTCCTTTATTTTATATTTTCTTTGATTTTTTGTAAAATGGAAAAGTTGGTTTTCACTTGATAATAAATTGAAGTTACTGGGCGCTAACTCTTCTGTAATCGTAGACTCTAATTTTCAAGTCATTTTGGCAAATTTTGTGAAGTAAATATAACACAAAATCACATTAATAATTGATATAAGATAAAATTCTTGTTATCAAACCTCTGAACTGAGCCCATAATCCCATAAATACACAAGGAATTTTCTGGTTTCTTCATTAAGATCCTGAATTTGTTCATCGATGTAAAAATCTTGGATTTTTCTTGTCTCTTGTGAAAATTAGTGAGGTAACTAAGGGATTTTATAGCTTGATTTCTCAAATCTCTATGTGAAATTTCACTGAGGAAGTCCAATGTTTCAAGAAAGTGGTTCTGTGGAGCACAACCCTCTGTTTTCCTTTCTTTAGTTATCGAACAGGTTGTAAAATAAACATGGCTATGTGTTACAAGATTTCTTTCTTGTGCTTCCTTGATCTACAGAAAAAGATTTTTCTAGGTTTGCTTATATAGATGGCTTCGGTTGGATCTTCGTACTGGTGCTACAGGTGCAATCGTTTTGTTAGGGTTTGAGCTCAAGAAACTATTGTTTGCGCTGATTGTGATGAGGGATTTATTGGGAAAATAGATGAGCCCCCTTGATCTGCACATGTAACTGGTAGGTGCTGGCGTTCAAAGTATGAATCTAGGGTTTTGCCGCAGCCGAAGGAACACTGGGGATCATTCACCTTTTAACTCCGTTATTGTCCTCCAGGGCATGCATGGCGGCGTTGAAGGCGGTGGTGGAAAGAGGGGAAACTTTGAGCTTTACTATGATGATGGCTCCGATTCAGGACTCCATCTACTACCCGTAAGCATGTCGGACTTCTTGATGGGTTCAGGCTTTGATAGTCTTCTCAAACAGCTGGCTCAGATTCAGATCAATACGGTAGGGTACTATGAACATCCCTTGGCGTCAAAGGTAGCAATTGAGTCCACGCCAACCATCAAGACTGTCAACAACCATGCTGTCACTGAGTCTCATTGTGTTGTCTGCAAGCAGCCCTTTGAACTTGCACAAGTGACAGCAAGAACCACCTGCCATTAGCGCAAGTGAACAAAACTGAAGCGAAACCCATAGCAAGAGGACCGAAGACTGAAGAATAAGCCCCCAAAGCTCTGCTAAACCGAACATAGACTGCAGAGAGAATAGAACAAATAAAAACCCTAACCCTCTGCAAGACCAAGAAACAAAGAGAATGAGAGGGGGAGGAGAGAGAGAGAGAGAGAGAGAGGGAGAGACAAAGAGAAGAGAGAGAAGACAACTGAATCTCCTCGCACGTTGGAAGGGGAGTCATGTGCAAAATAACAGATTATCCTCACACGGTCACTTTATAATCCGCACGTGGAGATACCATTCTCTCAAAGCTGAATGCATCCACGTATCCCCATTCCATATTAATATAGATATATAGATGCACCAGGAAGCAACTCCTGAATATTGAAAACCCTAGCATTACATGAAGCAGCCATTCCCTAATTGCTTGTCATATATAGTTATATTCATTTAGAATGAATTCTTCTCTTCTCTTTTCAGTAGATCGATTATTAAAACTTATATATATTTTTAGAAAAAAAAATTGAGAATATGATACAGAAAAGACATGATGCCTTGTAACCAATCGATGGGTATATCACATAAGTGGTATCAATCATGCGGTATTCATCGAAATTGACAGGAGGGTTTTGATTGGTCAAACCTCTTCTTGTATCATACCTTTCCGGCTTCATAGATTTAATTATCATATCCTATTTATAAATATCAATGCAAATTTTATTTATTTTCTGAAATTTGATTGAAATATATTCATATGCATGCACATTTTATTTTCAGTTCTTTCATTATTTTTACAATGTTAACCAAATATGTCCTCAGAGTTCACACTTCACTCACATAAACTATTAAAATATATATATTACTTATGTGTATATAGCTTATTTATAGTCATTTTAAACTTATATTTAATGTTATTGATATGTTTTTTTTTTAGATTTATTTGAGCTTTTCTATTGTATCCATACACATCTTAATTTTAATTTTCATCATCCAAAGTGTATTGTATCTTAAAATTATGTTTCTAATACGTACTCTTTGCATTTCTAATATTTTGAACCTTGCCCATAACTTGAACCAAGTTAAGATCTGTTGGCCTAAATCAAAGAAGAAAAGAAATGGCATTGTGGCGGATAGTCTTCATGGTTTTTTTATTATATCAAAATTGGTTAATTTACTCTAAAAGGAATGGACCAAAATCACCAAATTAATTAGGTCTAAGAAATTTAAATAAAACTAACAAAATGTATTATAACTAAATATATGTTAAATTATCTACTTTAAATGTCATTTAAAGGATTTTTAAAGTAGACTGAACTTCTTGCGTCCTTTACCAAAAAAAAAAACATGCCCCAAATTACTACACACACATATGTATGAGCAAAGTTGATTTGAATGATGTTGTTACTAAATTTTAATAGATTTAATTTTTATACAAGTAATCTTCAATTAATTTTATAATATTCTGATCATTTTGAGTTGAATTTATTTATACTATTTAATATCCGATTGCAATCCGAATTTGATTCAGAATCTGACATAAATCTGATGGATAAGGCCAGATATGGTCTAATTTTAATCCTACTAGACAATCTCTCATTTTCTGCTGTACCCAATTTATTAATGCTTTCCATATGCAATATTAGGTGTTAGATGTTTCAATATTTTAACATTTAGCTGCCCCTAACACATATCTTTATTCTGATCAGAAGGGAAGGATTTTGGGGCTCATATTTGGCTCATCAATAGAAGAATGTGTGAAGTGAAAGCAATTTTGGACCCCCAAACCAATTTTTTTACACATTAGAAGATTTCTTAGCCATTCAGCCTTCTTTATTAAATGGCCTGACAAGCAGATACACTCCCTAAATATAATGAAAAGCATATACCTAATAATAAATTTCTATATGTACAAATCGTGCATTTAAATTAATTTTGACAATTTTTTTTTTGTTTGAAATTTTTTATGCAACTAAAAATGGGTTCCAATTGGATCCAAACATATTCAGGTCATCCTCCCATATTTCTAACTAATGGCATCAGGTGCTCAACTTAAACAGTTAATACTCAAATTAATAATTAACAATGCATCTGGATTAATTTTTATAAGATTATTGGATCCAGTGTTAATTATAATTTATAGATAAATTATCGCTGGAGGTGAATATTAATTTGCTAAGCCTGATAATGTTTGACTTCTCAAAGCTGGAAATGTAAATATACACCGCTGTTGAGTACCATTAAAGGATGAGGGACGCTTTCAACTTAATTAAAAAGTCCAACTCCTAATTTTATTAAGTGGGAACACATGTACTGATGCAAGTCCTCTTATATTTATTTTGTTAATTTATATAAAGAATATTTGCAATATAATTAAGGGTACAATATTTAAACCTCTCCTGACATTTCTGAAATGTACTTAAACCTCCCCTCACCTTTAAAAGTTGCCAAGACCTCCCTTCACTTTTGGTGTAAAAGTTGCTTACTGACCCCTTCTGTTAATTGCACGTTAAAAAATTTAACAGAAATAGAAATTTATTGCTCAAAATTTTTTAAAATACCCAAATTTCCCATGAATCATGTTTGGGTAAAATACTTAAACCTCCCTTGACGTTTCTGATAAGTACTTAAACCTCCCTTCACCCTTAAATGTTGCAAAGACCTCCCTTGACGAGTAGACCCAGGTATTAAACAAACAGTGAAGTTGCTTATATAAACAATAACAAAACAAGGTATGATCTGTTCTAGACTCAAGTACGATCTATATATACTTTTTACTCGCCCTGTTTACTATATAAACAATAATAGATCAAGAAAAATCAAGAATAAAAAAACACAAAAAGCTTAGGTTAACAATATATTCAACGCATGAAAAAAAAAGCTACCTCTAAAAACTTAAAAAAATCAAAGAAAACTCAAAAAATTGTGTGAAACCACCTTCAACAAGTAGGTATTTTCGTTTGCACACATGATTTTTTGTAGAATCCTTGAGAATATTGAATTGGGCGGCAGAACCGGAAAAGAGGAACTAAGCGGGAATTATTTCAAGTGATGACAGAATAATCCTAGAAGGGTAATTCTGGTAATATGAAATTTTAATTTTTTTGGTAAACACACAAAGGTAGTCACTAGTTTGTGAATTTTCACTCTCCATCCACTAGAATTAAGTCAATTAATGGAAGGAATTAATAAGCAACTTTTACACCAAAAGTGAGAGGAGGTCTTTGCAACTTTTAAAAGTGAGGGGAGGTTTAAGTACATTTCAACAACGTCAAGGGAGGTATAAATATTTTACCCTATAATTAATTTGCCCAATATAGCCTGGGTACGGGTAGTACCAGGATTATATAGCCCACTATTATTAATTGATGCATTTTATTTTAATCTCGTGATCTGCCTTTCTTACGATTAAACTAATTGTTTAACAATTATAAACTCTCATTGAAAAGATTCCCAACTATTTTTTTTTTTCTGTAAGATTATTCTATGGCTGCACCAAGCGGCAAATTAATACAATTATACAATTTTACCTATAAAAAAAATACAGTTATACAATTGGATTGTTGAGATAAGAAATTCAGAGTGCACATGAAGATTTCTAGAAGCAATAACAATATATACATTAATTAGCAATAGACAGAACTAGGATCATGATCTTCTCTAATTAACTTATATTGCAGATTAAAAAATGTATAAATCTTAATTATTAACAAACTTTAATTTAGGCCAAAACAGTAGTTTGAGCTTGGTTCCACCTGGCAAACCAAAATTTCATGAAATATGTTGGCAAAACTTTAATTTAGGGGGCATTCTTTTTTTGGATTTTGAGAGGGAGAAATCTGGTTAATGGGATTTTGGTTCCCATTGACTAAGAACCTCATGTTTTTTTTTTCAGATAAATGTGGGGATTAGGAAAGTTTTCCGTTGAATGGGACAAAAATGCTCCTTTTAATAATGAATTTTTATGGTTAAAATAGTCATTTCTTTTTTTACTTGGAAAATAAAAGAACATAGGTAAATACACTTACCTGGATAAGTGTTTCCCAAGAAAAACTTACCCAAGTAATTGCATTTACCCGGGTAATTAACTTACCAAAAAGTAAACGGGGCCTTAGGCTAAATTTGGAAAAAGTACAAATATAAATACAATGAAAAACCTTGCATTTTGTATTTTTAAATTTAGATTTTTACTGTACATATTTATATTTATACTCTTTTTAAAGTGATGAGACTAATTTAAAAAGAATAAAAATACAAATATGTACAATACAAATTGTATTATAAATTGTGTATTTTAATTTTCCAACTGATATAAATACAAATATATAAAATGCAAAACCTTATATTTTGTATGCATTTATACTATTTATACCCTTTCCAATATCAAGCGTTAATTTGTGAGGGATCTGGGGCGGATCCTTGTATTACCAGGCCCAGGACCATGCCAACCAAACCCGTCGAATAATATAATATATACATATATAACTATTTTTTATCTTATAGATCAACACTAAAATCTAAACACGGTTGATTGTTGTACGTACATACACACTACCCAATTCAATCAGAATATATAATACGTTTATCGGGCACCCACCGCAACAACTGGATCCACTTATCGGGATCACTCGGGTGTGCAACCCATTGAGTGGCATCCCATCAGGCCATCAGTCATCACAACATGGGAAAATGCATGTTTGGGAATTGGGGAGTCCAGTCCAAACTCCCAAACATGCATAAGATTAATAATTAAAGCCTCAAATACGACCGGCAGCACCTGTATGATCTACTGTGTTAGATCTCCTCCATCGCATACAGATACAATTGGTTTCATCATACAGTAATCGGTGCTGGTCGAAGATGAAAACGCCGTTGCCTCCCTGCAATTTATGATTCCCATAGCCAGCCTTCTCTTCTCCATTTCCCGTCTTCCAGCTCTCCTAAGATTCTCCCTCTTGATCATAACACTAGCAGACTTATTCATTCTCTTTTTGGTGTTGTACTGTTTACTGTGACTAAACAGAGGTATTGGTATGGCCTCCAAACCCATCAACTTGGCAACCACACCCGGTTTGCACCAAACCACGCTTTCTCCTGCTAAAGTTGGAGGTAGCCCAAGACTCCTCTCCACATCTAATTCAAACCCTTCGCTATACAGTCTCCTTCCAATTCCTCCAGACGATGATGATGATGATGATTGACACCAACTGCAACCACCCCTGGACCTGGTAACTGGAGTGAAGTTATTGAAGGAAGACCTGTACATTGCATCCCTACCATCGAGAGAAAACCGAGGGTACTGGTTCAATGCGCTCCTGGCAGATCGTAAAATATCAGAGTTGTTGACACATGACATTCTACGTCGACACACATCATAGTCATCCAGCTTTGCTTTCCTTGCTGCCTCCTCTTCCAGCTCAAGCTGCAAGATCATCTCCTCCAGGGTCGGCGGTGGGCTCTTGCTGATGTGGTCTGGGTAGTAAGGCGAGCTTATAACGGGAGAGGAGGTGGCCATGCAAGATAAATCATGTTCATGTTGGCTCTTGCGACGTTGGTTATTGAGGATCGACGTGGAACCAACACCGTTGCAAAAGCTTCGGAGACCTTTCTTCATCTTCGCTGCCAGAGAGTTCTTCAGGAGAAACAAGGACAAGTCCTTCATGGCCTATTCTAGTGGTTGGAAGGAAGGAATGATAAACCCAAGCCTAGCTAAGAGGCCGGCCGGGAATCGGGATGGGAAATGGAGGAGAAGGGGAGAAGGGGTTAATAGCTGAGAAGTTCGGTGTGGCACCGCAGACATCAAGTGATGGAACGTGGTAACGTGAATGGAGTGAATGGGAGCGGTCGGTGGTGGAATTGAGCCAAGTCATGGACCATGGTGCCTTAATAGCAATCACATGACACGGCAAGACAGGATTGTATATACATACAGCTTTTTACATTTTGCAAAACAAAGCAAAGCCTTTAATTAAGATAAGAAGATCAATATATTCAATGCCCATAGCTCTACTAAACCTCTAATAACCTTTTCTATAAAAACTAGGGGTGCAACTTGGTACAAACCAAACTTTAATCTGCCTTTGACTTCGGTTGGATTAGGGATTTAGTGTTGATGCGTTTGGGCAACCCTAACCATGACTTAGTGACTTGTAACAGCCTAGGATGGGCTGAGGGCAATACTGTAACTTTGCTTTCAAGTCAAGGACCGGCTGAAGAGTCCAAGGTCTATTGTGGCCAAGGGTTGGTAGGTCAGACTTGTGGAGAGAGAGTGTGTCAGAGGCCCCGGGTGTTAACCTGAGGTGAAGACTCTGACGATCAAGTTAGTACAGGTGCAACACCAGGTGGGCGAGGCCTGAGGTGAAAACACTTAGACGAGGCCACAAAGGAAACTGGAGAGTTCTTAGTAGTCTTTAGTCTAGATGTTTACCTTGAGGAAGTTGCCCCCTATTTATACTTGAGACCGCCTAGAGGTAGGTGGGCTCGAACGGTCAGGATGCGGTCCGGCCCTAAGGAGCACGGTCATCTGAGGCCACCGCATGCGGCCACGCCATTGGCTTCGAGTCATGCGCCAACCTCTATTCTGTGTGCACCCTCATTGGGTCCACCCTAAGCATCGTCGCTTGTCGCATGCGTGCATGCTATTGATACGGGCCATGTGCACCTACATCATATATATATTTATGATACGGGCCATGTGCACCCTCATGTGTGTATGTGTGTGTGTGCATATAATTATAATTATATGTATTTAAATGTATGTATCATTAGTTTTAAGCTTGAGGTAAAAAAATAAATCTACTGTAATTTGAGTTCGGTACTAAAACACCATGGCTTTAACTTCCTTAATATAATAATGCTAAAATTAGGGGTGTAACTTGCTTGGGAATTTGGCTAAAAAAATTGATTGGAAATTTGCTCAATGGGCCCAAATCCTAAGGCTGTGTTTGGTTGCAATCCAAATAAATTTGCAGTGATTCAAAATTATAGCAATGCAAATGATTTAAATGTAATTTTTGACCTATTTTTGTTTCAAATTTTAACTTATTTTGTTTGATGGTAGTACAAATGAAGTAAATTAAGACATGAAGCAAAATAAAGTAAAACCCAAAATAACATTAAACGAGGATTTGCACTTTTCTCACTTGCACTCCCATGCCTTTATACTAGTGCACTGCAACCAAACACAGCCTTAATTACTAACCTAAGCTTTAATTGTCAATACAAAGATCAATGCCCATGGCTCTAACAAGCCTCCATAAAATAGATGACCGATGATCTCATAATTAAGGCTCCACCCCACCGTTTAAATTCGAAGGATGACCTACCATTCTACCAATACCAATCACATGACTCTCGAATCTCAACGTACGGCCACTTATTCTCTGTAAATACAGTCCACGGGATGAGTGAAGTTTCTTTTACCAACACACTAGGGGCAATGGATGTCCTATACGTTAGGTTTAAATTTTGATAGAAAACAATAGAAAGTTTTTAAGAAATTTCACAAAATCCTTCTAAGAACTCAACCTCAACTCTCCTGATGTTTCTAAATTTTTATCAAATCAAACCAAACACCAAAGGCAAGGCTACTAGGCTAGCCATAAAACATTATTTCTGGTTCTGTTTTGTGTGTGCCGTGTGCGGGTCAAATTCAATCACTGGCTACCATCTACGTGATAACCCACAACGGTTCAATTCAACCCCTCGACAAGATGTTTTCACTTCACCTATTTGTAAGAGCGTCAAATAGACCCACATTCCATACTCCATAGCAGTTTGGACTCAATATTAACCTTTCTTCATATAACTCTACATTATATAAGCAATTACATGAGACTCGAAACAAAAATAAATTGGAAATGAGTTCAGAGCTGATTCTTTCAACGATACCAAGCTGGCTGCATGCAAATCTCAGGTGATAAAATTCAAGACTTTGCAAACTCAGAATCATATTTTACTGTGCAAGAGTACAAGCACTCTTTCTATCATCGGCTATTAAAAAAGAGGGATGAGAAAATAAACAATGCTATTTGAAATTTGAATGCTTTGTGCCGAGGGAACCCTTGCCTCTCCTCCCTTTGAAACTGATGAGATGCTTTTTAAGATGATTCTTTACCCAAGAACCACTACTCTGCGCCACTGGCAGAGATTGATTTGTTCTCGAACTACCTCCAGTACCATCTGAAGAGAGACCACCACTATTGTTCCCAAGGCCAAGGGCATCAGAGATCACTACTTGTTGGTTCCTCCGCACCGATCTCAAACCCATTTGCAATGGTTCTGAAATCAGTGAAGATTCATCATCAGTCACACCACTGGTTTTCAGGCACAAGGGGCATGGCGGGTCATGAATCTGTCTTGGGTGTCGTTTGATCTAAGCATTCTGCATGGAACACATGGGTGCAATGCAGCACCGCAGCAATTGGCATGTTACCACTACTGACAATTCTCCGCGAACTCCACGGGGACTTCTGCCAAATTCCACAAAGTCCACAATTCTGATCTCCTCTACTGCAGTTTGGCCATCTAAATTCCTTATCAATGTACTCTGACATATCAAAACCTTCTCCATCAAATGCTAGGTCATAACTACTGGCACTACTCAACCTGAACCCCTCCCTTCTTGAGCTCTTGTTGGTCTCTGGACAAGCCTCCATTTTCTGAAACCTACTGAAGGTTTTATGCAAGAGACCACAACTGTTATTAGGCCAATCAGATGGTGAAGTTCTATTCTCACCAAGTATCAACCTACTTGTGCTGTTTTTATCTGTAGAATCAAAAGGAACGGTATCTGGCACAGGGTTTCGGAACACTAATGGGTAAACTGGTTTTGACATGAAAGAGCGCCGACTGGAAAAGTTCCGGCAGGAGGAAGAGATAGGCTGTTTGCCAGTTGGTTCCCAGTGGCTAGATTCAGAAAGGGTAGATGGGGACCCAAAACTGTTGGATACTGCAGATGCTCCGCCAATAAATAGCCTCTACAAGCAGATTTCACATACAAGCAAACAAACGATAATCAGAATAAAATTTAGGCTCAAGCAACTCCACGGTAACGTGTAGACAAGAACTCACCTCAGCAGACTGCGGAAAACAAGAAGCTGCAGATATTGACCCTAATCAAAATTAACAAATTAACCCTTTGTTAGCTGTGCAATTGCTCAAACTTTGACACCACAAAGAAGGCAGATCTCGATATTTTTCTTTTTAATATTTTAAGGGATGGAGTTGTTTGCAAATCTGCTGTGGCAGACGCTTGGCATCCCTCTTTAATACGCAACTCATATGTGAGGCGGCAAAGCAAGTAGCAATAGAATCTAAAAAGGAATTTATAGCAGAAAATCCAGCAATAAACACTTACCGATAGTATTAAAGAACTTGAAAGCAATAAAGAAGAGAATAAGAGCAGAAAATATAGAAAGGATTCCTATGAAAAGAATACAACGGAAACAAATAATCTGAAGTTCTAAGCGTCACTTGTAGGATCTCATACGTACACTCTGAACTATCAAGCTTCCAAGTTCAACTATGACTCTAGTGGTATAAATTCACATCCAAATTATTGTCCCTTTCAGAGGAAGTATCTTAATTCGAGAGTAATAATCCTACTAAAAAATGAAGACTCCTATAACTAGGAAATACAACTTCGAAACCAACAGTAACATAATAGTATCGAACTATCGATTAAAAATGTCGGGCTACAACAACTCATTATGACGTGTGAAACCCATGGCAATCCTTTAGAAAGTGGCACGTATTTAAAACCTGTCCCAACTCCTTCAAAGCATGAACAGGTCGTTTGGTAACTCCTTCAGAGCAAGTCAAGCTAAAGCTCCACCAAGAGTGTCGCAGACCCCCACCCACCCACACCCCAAAATCCCTCCCCACCTCCAATTCCCCCAAATGCAAGTGCTCACCGTCCAGTCCAGTCGAAGCCCTCAACCTGAACAACCTTGCAGGATCTGCCTTGGAAATGGATTTGAAAGACAGGAATGTCAAAAGTGGTTTTTTCAACTTGGGCTGCAATCTTAAATAAAATCCAAACCATCGACAACTCAAGGGCAAGGAGAATGATACTATTGACTTTTTTGTTAGTGTAAAAATTATTAATTGATATGTTAATTTATAGGGTAAATTTCTTAAACTACTGTTTGCTAAATCTTAACGGAATGGCTGAAATGTCCATTTTACCCTTTAACTCAAACCTAGGATCGAAAGCTAAAGCAAAAGTTTGGTGAGAAGGAGGTGAAGAAAGTAAAAGGAGCTGGTTCCCTTGAATCTGACAAGAAATCAAAAAAATCCCCTGTTGCTGCTACAGAGACTTAGAAGAAGAGATCAGTTGACAGATCCAGTGACTTCTCCAGATCCGGTGACTTCTCCAATGGAAAGGATCTCTCCAGAAATCCTTCCATCTACTGCAACCGTCGAAGCCAGGCGGAGCCCTATTTTGCTCGAGGGGGAGAGAGGTTGGATGTGGAGGGGTCCGTCGTTGCTACAACTTGCAAAAGAGGCAGTAATGAAACAGGAACGAGAGGGAGAAAGAACGAAGGGAATGGGGAAGAGAAAAAACGAAAGGGACAAAGAGAGAGAAGGAGGGAGGGAGAGGGATCAGATGTGGAGAGGTCCATTGCAGCAGCGGCGGTGATGAAACAGGGGCGAGAGGGAGAGAGAACGAAGGAACGGGGGGAGAGAGAGAAGTTAGTAGTCATGGATTCGTCCCTGTTTTCAATCCTTCTTAAATCCATCAAAGAACTGGTTCAATGAAAGCCCTCTCCAAACGCCTCGGGAAATACGGTTAGGGTTCTTATTCTTCTGGTTAGTGCTCCTTATTTTGCCTTCTGGATTTGATTCAGTTGATTTCTTCTATACATTATACATTATAGGGCTTCGATATGATGACCTCTACGACCTGATGTACGATTTGGACATAAAGAAGCACTGGCTCGCCTTCCTTGTGAGATCGTTGACGCAAGGATTCAGCGTCTGGTATGCAGATGTCGGTGCCAGAGTTAACCAGTAAACAAGGTACTTAGACAGAATCGTTTTTCCGAAACGAGGGCACTTTCGAACATAAAAGGGTAAGTTGGCAATTTTTAAAAATATAAGTCATGTGAGCAGTTTATGACAGAACATTAACGGTAAGGGAAGTATAAGCCAATTGTCAAAAAACAGTAAGTATTGTTAGACAATTTTCAAACAATAGGGACATACTTAATCAATTCACTAAACCATAAGGGTAGTTTAAGAAATTTATCCTAATTTATATTTGAGAATTTAATATTTGATTGACATTTTTGTTATAATAACTAAAATATCATATGTGCATATCTTTGGACTCCTAATTGATGCATTATCTTTTTTTTTTTTTTTTTGATAAGTTGGTTGATGCATTAGCAATAAAATTGTATGATATCCATGCATATATATATTAAAACTGGTCCACCAATGTCAGTATAGTTCTCTTTTGAGAGAAGCTATTTATCTATCTTCTCTATTTTTTATATTTTTTTATTTTTTTTGTTTTAAAAATATAAAACAGTAATCATTCCTTATCTTGATTAAATTAAACAACCAATGAAATGCACTTTCCCAAAACCTAAATAATCTATTCTCCTAAAATTTTTTCTAAACTACCTCCCCCACATTCTCCAAAATTATCACTAATTTTTATTTATCTTCTAAATTATCTCTATTCTTATTTATCTCCACAATTATCTCTAATTTAATAGAGAATCTATCCTAAATTATCTCTAAGTCTTATTTATCCTCTCCCCTACTTTTTATCTATATCTATCTAAATAAAATTTGGATTAAAAAATATAAGAATTATTTAAATATTCTAACAAAATTATAAAATAACATTAAAATATTTATTAAAAACAAAAAAAAATAATTTTATATTTTTAAAAAATATATCACGAAATTATGTACTAAAAATTTAAATTATATTTTTGCAGATTATCAATTTAAATGTTTTTCAAATATTTAATAATATGTAATAGCTTTAAATAAATAAAATTCAAATAACAAAAAAAATTAAAAATTTTATAGATTATTTAAATATTTATCATAACTAGATTTTAAATAGTTAAAATAACATAACTATGTAATAAATTTAAAAAATTTCTACAAAGTAGAAAAATAATTATAACATAATATTCAAATTAATAATAATTTAATATATTACAAAAATTAATATGAAATTATGTAATAATAGTATAAATTATGATTTTATGGATAATTAAATTCAATAAATAATTAATACATTAAATTTTAAATATTTTACATATTATTTAAGTATTTAAATAACAAAATATTTAACATAACTAGATTTTAAATAGTTAAAATAAAGAAATTATGTAATTAATTTAAAAAAATCTAAATATTAGAAAAATAATTATAACATAATATTGAAATTAATAATAATTTAATATTTTTACGTAATATTGTAAATAACTAATTTCACTTATATCAAGTAATAATTTGAGAAAAAAACTTTCAAAAACATTAATATTTATTAATAATAATTTTAAACTCTTAATTTGTATTTATTATATAATTATATATACTAAAATTAATATTTATTGTGTTTTAGTAATTATTTATTGTTTTTTGTGATAAATGTATTTTCAATGATTATGTATACATTTATTTTATTTTGTTATTTAACATAAAACTTTCAATAGTTATTGGAGATTAAACTACTATTATTGATTTTTTTTAAATTTAATTTATAGTACTTATTGTATTTTTGTTATAACTTATTGATTAATTAATATTTATTAGAGATTAAACTATTATTTGAGATTATACTATTTATTGACTAAGTTAATATATTTTTAGTACTTATTGTATTTTTGTAATTATTATAATTATTATATTTTTTTCACTATCAATATATTTTCAATAATTGTGTGTTTTTGCTATAAATTTTTAATAATTTTTGGAGATTAAACTATTGTTATTTATCGGAGATAAAACTATTAATTTAGCCAAAATCATGAGTGTTCACGAGTTGGTTCGGACCGGTCATAGGCTATTTGGCCAACAAATTGACATGGTTAGGTTGGGGAGTTGGTCAGTTGAAGCCGACTGACATTTTGTGAAAACCGACCCACTCAAGTTGTATTGGTTTGGGTCGGTTTTCACAAAAGGTCAATCAGTTCAAAAGATTTAAACTTAAAAATTTAATTTAATTTTAAAAATTACAGTGCAATTGTAAGTACATAGTAGTCACTTAAACCATCAAAACAGAGGAAGTGTCAAACTAAAACTATACGAATGCCTGTAATGAGTCCATAACTCATCACACATCTGTGATGAACTCATAACCGGAACAGGTTGCGATTTACTTTGGACCTGTGCGGACTTGCGATGAATTTAAATCCATCACAGAACCGCGATGGGCTCCGGACCAATGCGAACTTGCAATGAGTTTAAAGTCATCACATAATCGCGATGAGCGCAAACTCATCGTAGATTAGAAACAAATAATAGAAACCCGTGCGTCATTAAATAACGCGCGTGCGGGACATCCCGCGAGCCTAATGAGGGTGCACAAGCTAAATAGTGACGTCACCCATGCCATGTCTTTTTAAAAGGGTCACGAAAAGAAGTAGTAACACACGTGTATTATGAGAATCCTCAGACGATAGGAAAATTCGTCCTTAAGATATCTCATAAGACACGTGTCGAAACCCTAACAGTGTTTCCTAACTAACACCAAATCCAAAATTCTCTTTCCTAAAGGGAACCAAACACTTTTGGCTCCTTCCTTTTGAGACTTTGGGATCCCTCCCTATAAATAAGGGTCCAATTCATAACGTGATAATCATTCTATCACCTCATTTGCCCTAGCCTTTAGCCTACTTCTTGCACTTAGCTTTCTTTTGTCCTTCAATGAGACTCCCGTACATAGCCTAACCACCTCACTCACATCAATTATTAAAAAATAAATTTAAAAATTAGATTTAGGAAATTAAACATTTTAAACTAAAAAATATGGGAAATTTCTCACTTTTTCATATTAAAAATTACATTTAAAATATAAAATATTAATATATATCCATGGTTAGGTCATTTAATTTTTGTCAGTTTACAAATGGCCAAAGTGAAAATGATCCAAATTGGTCGAATTGGGAATTTTTTTTAACCAAAGCCAACATAAAATACTAGAAAACCGACCAACTTGGGTCGAGTTGATCAGGTTGGTCGGTTTCATAAGTTTGATGAATAAACCTAACTGAAATTAATTATTGCTATTTTTGTATTATAAAAAATTTATTAAAAGTAGTATATAAAATATGAATAATTATTAATTATTTAAAAAATTGAAAATATAAAACAATTGTATACTCTTGTGTTTATATTAAGGTCATTTACTATAACACACCTTATAGTTTTACATATTTACTTAAACCTACCTTATAGTTTTCATTTTACCAAAATAGCCCATATATTTTACAATTTATTTACTTAATTAACATTTCACTAAGGAGTGTTTGTTTTGCCATTAGGCCCATGATTTTTTATTCCAAAAAATGCCCTTAACATTTTTATACAAAAAACAAAATTGGCCAAATATAGCCAATAGAGTGGTTAATCGTGTCTTATTAAGAGCAAAATAGTATTTTTTATTTCTATTTTCCTTTGATTAAATTTATTTAAATGAACATTAGGGTCAAAACTGTCAGTTTCCACTATCATTTAATGAAGATTGATTAAATCCGTTGCAAATTATAAGTGGTGCTTTAGTAAAATACTAACTATAGGGTAGAGTTTTAGTAAATCCATGAAACTATAAAGGTATTTTAGTAAATGACAATTTCTATTATTTATCTTTTGCTTAATAAATCCCGTGCATCACACGGGTCTCCACTAAGATAATTATTAATAAAACTAAATTTATTAAAAAATATTTGTTTTTATTCAATTAACAATAATTACTTTTTATAAATCAATATTAAATGAAAATAAAATTATTAAATCTTTCAGATTTTTCCGTGCATCGCATGGGTCCCAATAGAAATTGGGGGCTAAAAAGAAGGGGGCGTAGACCCTCTGTTAGACCAAGATAAGAAAATGAACTTAATAAGAAAACAGCACAAAGCCCCTGTTTTAGATAAAAAGAACAAGGAGCTCCACCGCTGTTTTAGACCAATAAATGCTGGGGAACACTAAAATAAAAGAAGAAAATGAAAAAAAAAAAAGGTGCATAGCCCCTGTTTCAGAACACCAATGAAGAGGAAAAAATGATGAAAAACTTCAGGGAAATAAAGAAGAAAAGGGGGCAGAACACCTGTTCCAAATCACCTTCGAGGAGGAAAAAGGTGAAAATTTTGCAGGTAAATGAATAAGACAAAAGGGACAGAGTCCTTTCAGGCCACCTTTGAAGATGCAAAAGGGTGAAAAGATTGCAGGAAAATGAAGAAAAGAAGTGGGTGGAGCCCCTGTTTTATTCCAAAAAAGATCACACAAAAAAACATAAGGAAAAGACGGAAAAAAAAAGAAAAAGGAAAAAAGAGGAAAACCCAACAAAAAGGAAGAAAAACAGAGGCTGAAAATGAAGAGGGTAAGAAGAACAAGTGGTCCAGAGCGGACTTAAAACTGAGAAGAACTTGACGTACCCGGCATCTCCAAAGTTGTTTAGATTTCCTTTTTGGTTATGCAGCTACAGGTTGGAGTTGGAGTATGAGTGAAACAAACTTGACTGGACAGCTCTCCCTCTTCTATTCAATTCTGCCATGAAAATAAAACCCTAAAATGACACAGGTTTGCTAGTATTCTTCTAATAAAAAGGGTGATAATATGTGATAAGTCGTAGTAACGAAAACAAACCAATAAAAATTATTTACAACAAAAAAAAAGTAAAAAGCAATATAAAAATATTAAATGATCAAACAAATGCATTAATGTGTCTTGCATCTAGGTGTCTACCTTGGAGTTAAGCACCTGCCTAGTTGCCTAGGCATGCGCCTAACTGACTGGGCACACGCCTTATACAAAATTTACATGGCGTTTGGACGATGCAAAGTTTGAAAACTGCCAAGTCGCCTAGGTGAACAGGAGTCAGGGTATACTAGACATGAATAGGAGATCAGGCTGTGTGCCTAGGTGAACAGGAGTCAGGGCAGTTTGAAAACTGCCTAGTCGCCTAGGCACCACGTTGATAATTATACACAAGTATTGGAGATCAGGCTGGTTTACTAGACATGAACAGGAGTTAGGGTATCTCAGGTTAAAAGAAATCATGTAGAAAACTCTCCTATTCAGGGTAGGCAAACATGGTCATCACGGGACAAATAATATATGGGACAAATTTCATTAGCTGGTACCAGCATTGCAGAGGGGAACTAAAATGATATTTGCAAAAACTTATGTACAATTAAGTAAACCCTGAACTACTGCTCTAAAAAATTATCCAGCAATGCCGAGGGAAACTTAAATGACATTTGCAAAAATTTATGTACAATCATGTAAACCCTGAACTACTTCAATAATATTATAGGCTACGCACAAAGCATGCAAATAGCTTACATGATGCAGACAGACAGAAGTCCATTTTGGCAAATATATACTTTCCATTATTCAATTTTACTATATTCGTTTAGATGAATGTGGTGAATAGATAGATTGTGGATCAAATTTTAATTGTCAATGAATGTGTGGAGGATCTGAGGAGAACAAGGAGGAAATGAATGGTATGCAAGATGGATTTAGAGAAGGCTTATGACATGGTTGATTGGTCATTTTTTATGCAAGTGTTGGACTGTTTTGGCTTTGGGGAGAAATGGTGTAATTGGATCCTAGGTTGTATTGAGACTTGTTATTATTCCATTCTAGTAAATGGAACTGTAGTGGATCACTTCCCGGCTATTAGGGGAATTAGACAAGGGGACCCCCTCTCTCCTTTCCTTTTCACCTTGATTGTAGAAGTCTTGGGGAGACTAATTGAGAGAGCAGATTCGATAAGTCTTATTAGGGGGTGGAGGGTTGGAAAAGACAAGATTTCTATCACCCACTTACAATTTGCTAATGATACAATTCTGTTCTATGAGGGGGAGGATGTGAGATGGGCCAGAAACCTGAAGTTGGTGATTCAAGTGTTGGAACAAATGTCAAATATGAAGGTGAATTTTGATAAGAGTTGCATGGTGGGTATCAATATAGAGGAGAGAGATATAATGGAAAGGGCTGAAACTTTGGGTTGTGTGGTGTCTCAATGGCCGCTAAACTATTTAAGGATGCCTCTAGGGGATAATCCGAGGAAAGAGCTTTTGGAGTTCTGTGAGTGATAGGTTTACTAAGAAATTGGCCTTTTAGAAGAAGAATTACTTATCTTTGGGTGGCAGAATTACCTTGATTAAGTCTACATTGGCTAGTTTGCCTGTGTATTACTTTTCTGTCTTTAAGATTCTAGTGAAGATAAGTAGGGTTTTGGAGAAGTTGATGAGGGACTTTTTGTGGGAAACAGGGGAGGAGAGGAAGGATCACAGGGTGAATTAGGATTTGGTTTCTAAAAGTATGGCTGATGGAGGGTTAGGATTAGGTAACATTCGGAAGAAAAATGAAGCTTTGTTGAGGAAATGGCTGTGGAGGTTAGAAGGTGAGAAAGATAAGTTGTAGACTAGGGTAATTCTAAGTATTCATGGTCAGACAGATGATGGTTGGGACTTTGCAACTTTAGCAAGGTCTAATGGTGCCTCTCCTTGGAAATCAATACATGCCATTCTTCATTCTTTTTTACAGCACATCAGGTATGACCTCTGCTCTGGAAATCAGGTAAAATTTTGGGAGCACATTTGGGTGGGTGAGGTACCTTTGAAAGACTAATTCCCCTCCTTGTTTTCCCTCTCTAGGTATAAAGGCAAGGTTGTGTCCAATTTTCTAGTTCCTTCTTAGTCTTACTTTGGGCTTGATTGGGATTTAGGGTTCAGAAGAGGCCTAAGGGATGTAGAGGTTGAAGATGTCTTGAATCTGGTTCAGATCTTGAACGGGGTGGTGTTGGACCCCTCTGAGAGGGATAATGGACCCTAGCTCCCTCTGGGACCTTCTCTTGTGCTTCCTTCTTTAAGTCCCTCTTGCCTTCGACCAATAATTTTGCACAAATTTTTCCATTTAAGGATGTTTGGGGTGAGCCAATTCCTCCAAGGATTGGAGTCTTTTGTTGGGAAGCCTTCCTTTAAAGGTGTAATACATGTGACTTACTCCAAAGAAAAAGGCCTTTTTGGTGCTTGTCTCATAATTGGTGCATTCTTTGCAAGGCTAATGGTGAAAGCTCCTACTACTTATTAATTTATTGCCCCCTTGCTGCTGATCTTTGGGATTGGTTTCTTTCCTTATTTGGTTGCAAGTGGACCCCACTACCAAATATTCAAAGCTTGTTTAGCTCTTCGTTCCTTCGATGGCCAAACAAAAGGGGAAGAATTATATGGAGATCTGTGAGGGCTGCTATTTGCTGGACCCTATGGGAGGAAAGAAATGCTAGAACGCTTTTTGAAAATGAAAGAAGTAAATTAAGCCTTGTTGAAGTAATAATAGTTAGGGTGGTGCACTGGCTAAAATCCTTGGACTTGTTTGTTGATGTTTCTATAGACATGTTGATGAATAGCTGGATGGAGGCAGCAAATTCTGCTCCTACTCGCTCTTCTATTTGTCCTGTGTGGTCAACATCAGCCTGTGGCTTTACAAAGCTAAACTTTGATGTTAGTAGTGAAGGTAATCCAGGTCTATCGGAAGGAGGGGTCTTCAGAGATGAGGATGGGGGGTGCTTGCAATGTATTCAGGTCCCATTGGGGCTGGGGACTCTCTAAAAGCTGAGATCTATGCTGTATTGGAGGAGATAAGGAAGACTAAGGAACTGAATATACAAAAGCTAGTTGTTGAAGGGGACTCAAAGTTGGTGTTAAGCTGGCTACAAAAAAAGTGGACTTGGGAAATTTGCTAATGAGATGAGGAAGATTAAGTGGCTAACTAGAGAGCTAGAAATCCATTTTCAGTGGGTTAAGAGAACAGCAAAATGCTTTTGCTGATGCCTTGGCAAAGCAGGGGGTGGGAAGGGATCAAATGTTTTGGGCTGTTCTGTAATTTTTTCTTTGTTGTCCTCCTGGAGAGAGTTAGGCCCTTTTATCTCTCTCTAGAGTGTTGTAACTACATATTTTTTATTAATCTAATGAACTCCTGTTATTGATAAAAAAAAATATTCCTTTAGATGAAGGAAAATTGTCCAAAGCAGTCCACTGAACAGGTGGTCAAAATCAAAAGTACTGCTTATTCTGTCTGGATGGTAGGTAATGTTCTGCATTCAAGTCCTCAGACTGACGTTTCCAGACAAACAGCTGAAAAGTAATATCTTCATGTAGAACTTGCAATATGTGATACCCAGATACCTATACAAGGGTGCCGCATTGTATAACAAAATCTGGAGGACAACAAAGAAATTTAGACTACACAAGAAATTTAGACCAAGAAACTAACAACATATGATGTCAAAGGTGGCAAAATATCAAGATGACACAGAAGAAAATTCATTAAAACATTTGTTAATTTACATGTTATCTCCAACCACCACCTTCTAATGCTGAGTAAATCCCACAAATCCATATCTAGGCAATATACGGGGATAAGCCATAAACTTTCATTTTATTCAGCACTCATAAATTGTATTTCTAGGGTACTTGATTGCAAATACCCTGTGTGATTACAATATCAATTGTAATCACTCTATCCCTTTATCTACAATTGTATTCAGCACTCTATCTCTTTATCTACAATTGTTATTACAATGATAGGAACTTCTTTTTCTTAGATTGCAAATACCCTGTGCGATTACAATATCAGTTGTTCCCATGTATCTCAACACCTATGTCATCATTATAATTACTCTATCCCTTTATCTACAATTCTTTTTCTTATAGGCACCAAATAAGAACCAATGGAAGTAGAATCGAATCTTCTGTTCCTATACTCTGGTAAAAGTATGGAATTTCCATCACCCAAAGGAAGAGAGTCAACAGTAGTCACCCAGCAAGTTGACCAGATCATAGAATAGCTGAATAGCCATGATATGACACAACAAACTTGATTCTTTAAGATTAATCAGATTAAATAAGTGGTGGATTTTACAAGAAATTCTATATTCTACATGGCATTTAGGTTATTTAGCCATTTATGAAAATTGTGAAACTGCACAGTATTCAATGTCAAAACTTAATTTCTCCACATAACTCTTAATACACCATTATCTCCTAACATAGCCTCATGGTTATCAAAGTGACACTTAAGCAAGGATGGTTTCTGGTCATGGTTTTTGGTTCTGTAATTTATTTTTTTATCAGCATTAACTGTATTATTATTGTATAAATAAAAAAAAAAAAACTTATTATTTTATCTATTGTAATGTAGAAGTCCACATTCCATTATTATATTCTATACATTTTTATGTGCTTTTGTGTTTTTAGTTTCATTATTTTTCACGATCTCTTTTTTTTTATATGTTTTCAAGGGGCTACATAACAGGGGGTAGCCCATCCCCCAACCCAAGTGCAGGCAGGACTCGACAAGTCTCCACTACGACCAGCAGGAGACCTTACTAACCAGCTGGTTAGCACCTTGCTTATTTTTCACAATCTCTTGTTTCACTATAATTGTCATCACATGCCTAGAGGCATTGGGGGGTTTCTCACCTTTCAAGAAAAGTGATCATTGACAATATTGTGTCATTACTTTGTTTATTTGCTTGAATACAGTGTGTAGAAATCCTCATTTGCTTGGATTCATTATGGTATTGACTTGTTGCTTTCTTTATTTGTTTGAATTCGTGCCATATGAAAATTCGTGATTTTAAAAACTGCATGCTGCTTTGATGAATGGATTTGATTATATTATGTATTGAATAATGAAATTTATGATAAGAAGTTATGCCTTCTCATGAAACTAATGATTTAATGTTTTTTACATGTAAAATTCATTATTGATAACGTTCTTAGTATTTACCAATACAAAATAATAAGAAATTGAAAATACGGCACAGGTAAACACGGATCACATCCAATAAGTTGTAGATTTATTTGTCAAATCCATGAATACATAACCTTCAGCATTAGAGTCCAAGATGCAATATTTGCTCATCCCTTGGTAGTGGCAAAAATAACTATGCAGAATGAAAGACCAGTCACAACATACGGAAGTGCAGAAGCATGCATCATAAAACTTTTATAAAAACAGTGCAGACTTGATGACAGTCTGGCACTGGAATTAGTTATCACTCAAATTAGAATCATCGTTTAGCCCTCAAAAACCATGACCAGAAAAACCCATAAACAAGGATGACTTAAATGTAGGCCTGAATGTTCACCACTTCATTGAGATACAGGGCATGTCAGCATGTGTGATTAGTGATTACTTACCACCAAGAAAGATAAAAACCATGGACAGAGAGAGAACAAAGAAGAATAACATTCAAAAGCAGAAACCTTTTCAAGCAAAGAACTCGTGTTCAAACAGAACAAGACTAGATAAACAAGGATGACTTGAATGTAGGCCTGAATATTCACCACTTCATTGAGATACAGGGCACGTCAGCATGTGTGATTAGTGATTACTTACCATCAAGAAAGATAAAAAATCATGGACAGAGAGAGAACAAAGAAGGATAACATTCAAAAGCAGAAACCTTTTCAAGCAAAGAACTCGCGTTCAAACAGAACAAGACTAGATAAGCTTAAATTAACTCCCACAGGTAAGGTAGCCAACTCACCAGAATTAGATTTCTGTACTAGTGGTGTCCACTGAGGGAGCTGGAAATTGTCAGAGGGGCTTCCGAAATAGGAAAACACACCATCTGACACAGAGTGATAATGGTCGGTGTACTGGTCACTGCTCGCCCTGCCTCTGCTTCCTTTACTATTTGATGATAATGATGAGCCATTTAGTGGGGCTTCATACGAACAATGAGGTGAACCATCTGACTGGAATTGACGATCCCATCTCCACAATGGAGGAGGAGAGAAGCTTGAGTTTGTTCGCCACTGAGGTTCATTGTGACCCATGGAATAGGCTCTTCTTCCTGTATTTGATTTTCCTCCATGTGACCCAACGACCACACAACAAAGTGCACCCGTTTTAGCTATCGTTCTGGTAGCAGCAGTTAAGTGGCACTATTGTCTTAAGTGGTGGCTTTCAGATAGGCATGGGCCTCATGCCAAGCAGAAAGTGTGTATATTAAAACTAGAGGGAGAGATCAAAAACGGTTCAATGGAAAATCYAACACAAGGATGACAAAATATCTGACCTCCAGAACTAACCTAGAAAAAGTAATATTAACTTTTCACAATGATTGTCAATCCAAAAATGAAAATTTTACAGCTTCCCATCTCGCAAGAAGATCCATACAGGAACATTTTCTCGGCAAGGGTTCAACTACAGCCTAATAGTTGAACCTTTTTAACCTTAGGATCAAATTTCCAGCTTGCTTCCTGAACAGCCATCTCTTCTTTATGGAACTTCAATCATAGGTGATGGAGGGTGATTTGGCCCAACCTCGTAGCACGGGTACACGTGGGCGTGACCTTGCTCAAGCGATGACTCAGCATGACAGCACAGCAAGCGCAACTACAACTCGGAGGGAAGGGCCCACCGAGTTCAGCTTGGCAACTCGGCGGGATAGGCTACCTGCCGAGTGCCGCCTGACCTGCACCTCCTCCCCGAGGCTAAGGCGTTCCGAGATACCTCCGAGCTCGGGGCCCCCTGACCTTTCCTAATGCCCGAGCTCCTCCCAGTGGATTTTGGGCCACTCCCAAACAAGAACACCCCGATCCGCCTCTAGATACCCCGAGGTAAAGACACCTCGGGCCGAACAGCTCGGTGTAGCTTGCCACGGGCAGCTCGCCACTTGCGGGATAGCTCGGCACAGGGCAACTCGCGAAAGAGCAGTTCGGCATATCGCAAGAAGATCTCTTGCCCGACCACCGTACCCGATAAATCTGGAGACAACAACCATGTCCCTCGTCAGATAGTGTCGTGCCTGCCACCTTTAGAGGGTGCCTTACACCTGACAGGCACGTACCCTGCAATGACAGCCGCGCGCGTGCCACCTCAGCCCTGCCTGTAAAGGCTGCGGCAGGATAACAGTGGCGGTTATACCTGTACAAGAATTTCACCTATCACAGTGAGTGCAGATATAAAGGGAATAAAAGATAAAATTTACAAAACATAGGTCAATTGCAAAAAAATGTGCGATTCTAAATATCATTCTTATAAAGGAGTAGAAGAAGCTTCATTTGAATGAAAATTGACAAAGACGTGCATGAAGATTATTAAATATGAAATATCAATGAATAGAAGAGACATCAGCACAAGTGGATACTTTACCAAACTCTAACCATGAAAGAAGGAAAATGCCCCCAGAAAACGTCATCTACAAGAAACTAAGAGAGTAGAATTAGCAAAAGCGGACTGAGAATGTAATAGTCCGACAATGGTTCCAACCCAATAGCTTGATAAACCACAGCAA